TATTTTGGCTTTTGTTGCCAATGCTTTTTGTGTTTTGGTCATGAAGTCCTTGCCTACGCCTATGTCCTCAATGGTTTTGTCTAGATTTTTCTTCCAGGGTTTTTATGGTGTTAGGTCTTATGTTTAAGTCTTTAATCCATCTGGAGTTAATTTTAGTGTAAGGTGTCAGGAAGGGGTCCAGTTTCTGCTTTCTGCACATGGCTAGCCAATTTTCCCAACACCATTTATTAAACAGGGAATCCTTATCCCACTGCTTGTTTTTGTCAGTTTTGTCAAAGATCGGATGGTTGTAGATGTGTTGGGTTGCCTCCGAGGGCTCTGTTCTGTTCCATTGGTCTATATCTCTGTTTTGGTACGAGTACCATGCTCTTTTGATTACTGTAGTCTTGTAGTGTAGTTTGAAGTCTGGCAGTGTGATGCCTCCTGCTTTGCTCTTTTTGCTTAGAATTGTCTTGGCTATGCAGGCTCTCTTTTGGTTCCATATGAAGTTTAAGTTGGTTTTTTCCAGTTCTGTGAAGAAGGTCATTGGTAGCTTGTTGGGGATAGCATTGAATCTGTAAATTACTTTGGGCAGTATGGCCATTTTCACGATATTGATTCTTCCTAATCATGAACATGGAATGTTTTTCCATCTGTTTGTGTCCTCTCTTATTTCATTGATCAGTGGCTTGTAGTGAGACTTGATGAGGTCCTTTACGTTTTTTCTTAGTTGTATTCCTAGGTAGTTTATTCTCTTTGTAGCAGTTGTGAAGGGCAGTTCGTTCTTGATTTGGCTCTCTTTAAGTCTGTTATTGGTTTATAAGAATGTTGTGATTTTGCACATTGATTTTCTATCCTGAGACTTTGCTCAAGTTGCTTATCAGTTTCAGGAGATTTGGGGCTGAGACTGTAGGGTTTTCTAGATATACAATCATGTCATCTGCAAATAGAGACAATTTGACTTTCTCCTTTCCTATTTGAATACCCTTTATTTCTTTTTCTTACCTGATTGCTCTGGCTAGAAATTCCAATACTATATTGAATAGGAGTGGTGAGAAAGGGCGTCCTTGTCTAGTGCCAGATTTCAGAGGGAATTCTTCCAGTTTTTGTCCATTCAGTATGATACTGGCTGTTGGTTTGTCGTAAATAGCTTTTATTATTTTGAGGTACATTCCTTCAGTACCTAGTTTATTGAGGGTTTTTAGCATAAAGGGCTGTTGAATTTTGTCAAAGGCGTTTTCTGCATCAGTTGAGATAATCATGTGGTTTTTGTCTTTGGTTCTGTTTATGTGGTGAATTATGTTTATAGACTTGTGTATGTTGAACCAGCTTTGCATCCCTGCAATGAAGCCTACTTGATCATGGTGGATAAGCTTTTTGATGTGTTGTTGCAATCGGTTTGCCAGTATTTTACTGAAGATTTTTGCATCTATGTTCATCATGGATATTGGCCTCAAGTTTCCTTTTCTTGCTGGGTCTCTGCCATGTTTTGGTATCAGGATGATGTTGGTCTCATAAAATGATTTGGGAAGGATTCCCTCTTTTTGGATTGTTTGGAATAGTTTCAGAAGGAATGGTACCAGCTCCTCTTTGTTTGACTGGTAGAATTTGGCTGTGAACCCATCTGGATCTGGGCTTTTTTTGGGTGGTAGGCTCTTAATTGCTGTCTCAACTTCAGACCTTGTTATTGGTCTATTCAGGGTTTCGACTTCTTCCTGGTTTACGCTCAGGAGGATGCAAGTGTCCAGGAATATATCCATTTCTTCCAGACTTACTAGTTTATGTTCATAGAATTGTTTGTAATACTCTCTGATGATGGTTTGTATTTCTGTGGAATCTGTGGTGATATTCCCTTTACCATTTTCATTGCATCTATTTGATTATACCTTTTTTTTTTTTTTAATTAATCTGGCTAGTGGTCTATTTTGTTGATCTTTTCGAAAAACCAGCTCCTGGATTTATTGATTTTTTTGAAGGGTTTTTCGTGTCTCCATCTCCTTCTGGTCTGCTCTGATCTTAGTTATTTCTTGTCTTCTGCTAAGTTTTGAGTTTTTTTGATCTTGCTCCTCTAGCTCTTTCAATTTTGATGATAGGGTGTCGATTTTAGATCTCTCCTTGCTTTTCATTTGGGCATTTATTGCTATATATTTTCCTCTAGACACTGCTTTAAATGTGTCCCAGAGATTCTGGTATGTTGTGTTTTTGTTGTCATTGGTTTTGAAGAACATCTTTATTTTTGCCTTCATTTCATTGTTTTTCCAGTCAACATTCAAGAGCCAGTTGTTCAGTTTCCATGAAGCTGTGCATTTCTGAGTTAGTCTGAATTCTGAGTTCTATCTTGATTGCACTGTCGTCTGAGAGACTGTTATGGTTTCTGTTATTTTGCATTTGCTGAGGAGTGATTCACTTCCAATTATGTGGTCAAGTTTAGAGTAGGTGTGATGTGGTGCTGAGAAGAATGTATATTCTGTGGATTTGGGGTGGAGAGTTCTGTGAATGTCTATTAGGTTTGCTTGGTCCAGGTCTGAGTTCAAGTCCTGGATATCCTTGTTAATTTTCTGTCTCGTTGATCTAATATTGACAATGGGGTGTTAAAGTCTCCCACTATTATTGTGTGGGAGTCTAAGTCTCTTTGTAAGTCATTCAGAACTTGCCTTATGTATCTGGGTGCTCCTGTATTGGGTGTGTATATATTTAGGATCATTAGCTCTTCTTGTTGCATTGATCTTTTTACCATTATGTAATGTCCTTCTTTGTCTCTTTTGATCTTTGTTGCTTTAAAGTCTATTTTATCAGAGATGAGAATTGCAACTCCTGCTTTTTTTTTTTTTTTTTTTTTTTTTTTTTGCTATCCATTTGCTTGTTAAGTCTTCCTCCATCCCTTTATTTTGAGCCTTTGTGTATCCTTGCATTTGAAATGGGTTTCCTGGATACAGCACACCAATAGGTTTTAGCTTTTTATCCAATTTGCCAGTCTTTGTCTTTTGTTTGGGACGTTTAGCCCATTTACATTTAGGGTTAACATTGTTATGCATGAATTTGATCATGCCATTTTGATGCTAGCTGGCTGTTTTGCCCGTTAGTTGATGCAGTTTCTTCTTTATGTTCATTCTCTTTACCATTTGTTATGTTTTTGGAGTGGCTGGTACTGGTTTTTCCTTTCTATGTTTCATGCTTCTATCAGGAGCTCTTGTAAAGCTGGCCTGGTGGTGATGAAATCTCTAAGTACTTGCTTGTTCACAAAGGATTTTATTTTTCCTTCAGTTATGAAGCTTAGTTTTGCTGGATATGAAATTCTGGGTTGAAAGTTCTTTTCTTTAAGTATGTTGAATATTAGCCCCCACTCTCTTCTGGCTTGTAGGGTTTCTGCTGAGAGATCAGCTGTGAGTCTGATCGGCTTCCCTTTGTGGGTAACCCAACCTTTCTCTCTGGCTGCCCTTAGCATTTTCTCCTTCATTTCAACCCTGGTGAATCTGATGATTATATGCCTTGGGGTTGCCCTTCTTGAGAAATATCTTTGTGGTGGTCTCTGTATTTCCTGGATTTGAATATTGGCCTGCCTTGCTAGGTTGGAAAGTTTTCCTGGATGGTATCCTGAAGAGTATTTTCCAGCTTGGATTCATTCTCTCCATCACATTCAGGTACACCTATCAAACGTAGATTAGGTCTTTTCACATACTCCCATATTTATTGGAGACTTCATTCATTCTTTTTTACCCTTTTTTCTCTAATCTTGCCTTCTCATTTTATTTCATTGAGTTGATCTTCGACCTCTGATATTGTTTCTTCTGCTTGGTCAATTCAGCTGTTGAAACTTGTGTATGCTTTGTGACATTCTTGTGTTGTGTTTTTCAGCTCCATCAATTCACTTATATTCCTCTCTAAGTTGTTTATTCTTGTTAGCATTTTGTCAAGTCTTTTTTCAGGTTCTTAGTTTCTTTGAATTGGGTTAGAACATGTTCTTTTAGCTCACAGAAATTTCTTATTACCCATCTTCTGAAGCCTGTTTCTGTCAATTCATCAAACTCATTCTCCATCCAGCCTTGTTCCCTTGCTGGTGAGGAGTTGTGATCCCTTATAGGAGGACAAATGTTCTGGTTTCGAGTGTTTTCATCCTTTTTTCCACTGGTTTCTTCCCATCTTTGTGGATTTATCCACCTGTTGTCTTTGTAGATGTTGACTTTCAGATTGGGTCTCTGAGTGGATGTCCAGTTTGTTGATGATGAAGTTATTTCTTTCTGTTTCTTAGTTTTCCTTCTAACAGTCAGGCCCCTCTGGTGTAGGACTGCTGAGGTCCACTCCAGGCTCTCCTTGCCTGGGGATCACCTGCAGCGGCTGCAGAACAGTCAGGGTTGCTGCCAGTTTCTTCTGCTGCTATCTTTGTCCCTAAGGATACCCTCCAGATATCAGTCTGACTCTCCTTTATGAGGTGACTCTTTGGATATATAGGGGTCAGGGAGCTGCTTAAGGAGACAGTCTGTCCTTTATAGGAGCTCAAGTGCTGAGCTGTGAGCTCCATTGTTCGTTTACAGCTGCTGGGCAGGTATGTTTAAGTTTGCTGTAGCAGAACTCATAAATCTCCCCTTTTTTCCCCCAGGTGCTCTGTCCTGGGGAGTTGGGCTTTATTTATGAGTTCCTGTTGTGCTGCTGCCTTTTTACAGGGCTGCCCTGGCCAGCAAGGTGGCAACCTAGTCACTGTCTGCCTGCAGAGGCTTTGCTGAGCTGCTGTGGGCTCTGCCCCGCTGCCATGTGAACTTCCCTGCAGTCCTTTTTATACGACTGTAGTTAGAACTACCTCGGCAATGGCGGCCCACCTCTATAATGGTGGACTTTCTCTGTAATGGTGGGCTGCCTCAGCAATGGCAAACTACCTCAGTAATGGTGGATGCCCCTCCCACACAGAGCTGGGCCATCTTGGGTTCACCTGTGCTTGCTGTGAAACTCTCAATCCAGAGCGTTTCCAATTGCTCTTTTTTTGTGTGGGTGGGACCAGCTGAGTCTGATTACCTGACTCTCTGCCTCAGAGCCTTTTTTTTTTTTTTTTTTTTTTTAAGTTGAATGGTCGACTGTCTCCCAGGTCTTCCAGTAGCCTGTTGAAAAGGTGCTGGGATCTTTGTGCTTTCCCATGTGGTGACCCATTGCTCTGGCTGAGACAGTGGTGCTGAGATTGGTGGTGCTTTTTTTGCCCGGGAATCTCCTGGCCTGGCTCCCTATTTCAGTCCCCTTTTTTACTCAGATGAATGGGCGACTCTGCCTTCCTGGAGCTCCAATCACCAGTTAAAACAGCGCCAGGACCTGTGTATTTTGCACAGAGAACTACCACGCCGGGACATTGGCAAAACAACCACACCAGCCAAAACAGCCACGCTGGCCAAACAAGCCACAGTGGTGACCCATGGGGCTCCTCTGCCTGGGAATCTACTGGTCTGTGAGCAATAAAAATCTGTCCGGAAATGCGGCGTCCACTCACCCTCTGCGCTTTCACTGGGAGCTGCAATCCTGAGCTGCCCCTAATTGGCCATCTTGGATCCCTCCATCTCTTTTGATCTTTGTTGGTTTAAAGTCTGTTTTATCAGAGACGAGAATTGCAACTCCTGCTTTTCTTTGCTGTCCATTTGCTTGGTAAATCTTCCTCCATCCCTTTATTTTGAGCTTTTGTGTATCCTTGCATTTGAAATGGGTTTCCTGGATACAGCACACCAATGGGTTTTAGCTTTTTATCCAATTTGCCAGTCTGTGTCTTTTGTTTGGGTGTTTAGCCCATTTACATTTTGGGTTAATATTGTTATGTGTGAATTTGATCCTGCCATTTTGATGCTAGCTGGCTGTTTTGCCCATTAGTTGATGCAGTTTCTTCTTTGTGTCGATGCTGTTTACCATTTTGGTATGTTTTTGGAATGGCTGGTACTGGTTATTCCTTTATATGTTTAGTGCTTCTTTCAGGAGCTGTTGTAAAGCAGGCCTGGTGGTGATGAAATCTCTGAGTACTTGCTTGTTCATAAAGGATTTTATTTCTCCTTCACATATGAAGCTTAGTTTGGCTGGATATGAAATCCCGGGTTGAAAGTTCTTTTCTTTAAGGATGTTGAATATTGGCCCCCACTCTCTTCTGGCTTGTAGGGTTTCTGCTGAGAGATCAGCTGTGAGTCTGATCGGCTTCCCTTTGTGGGTAACCCGACCTTTCTGGCTGCCTTTAGCATTTTCTTCTTCATTTCAACCCTGGTGAATCTGATGATTATATGCCTTGGGGTTGCTCTTCTTGAGGAATATCTTTGCGGTGTTCTCTGTATTTCCTGGACTTGAATATTGGCCTGCCTTGCTAGGCTGGGAAGTTTTCCTGGATAATATCCTGAAGAGTATTTTCCAGCTTGGATTCATTATCTCTGTCACGTTCAGGTACACCTATCAAACGTAGATTAGGTCTTTTCACATAGTCCCATATTTCTTGGATACTTTGTTCATTCCTTTTTACCCTTTTTTCGCTAATCTTGCCTTCTCATTTTATTTCATTGAGTTGATCTTTGACCTCTGATATCCTTTCTTCTGCTTGGTCAGTTTGGCTGTTGAAACTTGTGTATGCTTTGTGAAGTTCTCATGTTGTGTTTTTCAGCACCATCAACTCACTTATATCCTCTCAAGCTGTTTATTCTTCTTAGGATTTCGTCAAACCTTTTTTCAAGTTCTTAGTTTCTTTGCATTGGGTTAGAACATGTTCCTTTAGCTCAGAGACGTTTCTTATTACCCGCCTTCTGAGGCCTGTTTCTGTCAATTCATCACACTCATTCTCCATCCAGCCTTGTTCCCTTGCTGGTGAGGAGTTGTGATCCCTTGTAGGAGAGGTGTTCTGGTTTTGGGTGTTTTCATCCTTTTTGCACTGGTTTCTTCCCATCTTTGTGGATTTATCCACCTGTTGTCTTTGTAGATGTTGACTTTCAGATTGGGTCTCTGAGTGGATGTCCAGTTTGTTGATGATGAAATTAATTTCTTTCTGTTTCTTAGTTTTCCTTCTAACAGTCAGGCCCCTCTGGTGTAGGACTGCTGAGGTCCACTCCAGGCTCTCCTTGCCTGGGGATCACCTGCAGCGGCTGCAGAACAGTCAGGGTTGCTGCCAGTTTCTTCTGCTGCTATCTTTGTCCCAGAAGGATACCCTCCAGATATCAGTCTGACTCTCCTTTATGAGGTGACTCTTTGGATATATGGGGGTGAGGGAGCTGCTTGAGAAGACAGTCTGTCCTTTATAGGATCTCAAGTCCTGAGCTGTGAGCTCCATTGTTCATTTAGAGCTGCTGGGCAGGTAGGTTTAACTCTGCTGTAGCAGAACTCATAAACGTCTTTTTTCACCCCCAGGTGCTCTGTCCTGGGGAGTTATGGCTTTATAAGTTTCTGTCATGCTGCTGTCTTTTTTCAAGGCTTCCCTGTCTAGCAAGGAGGCAGCCTAGTCACCGTCTGCCTGCAGAGGCTTTGCTGAGCAGCTGTGGGCTCTGCCCAGCTGCCGTGAGAACTTTCCTGCAGTATTGTTTATATGGGTATAGTTAGAACTGCCTCGGTGATGGAGGCCCACCTCTGTGATGGTGGACTCTTACTATAATGGTGGGCTGTCTCGGCAATGGCGGACTACCTCTGTAGTGGCAGACTGCCTCGGTAATGGCAGACGCCCCTCCCCCACAGAGCCAGACTGTCCCAGGTTTACCTGTGCTTGCTGTGAAACTCCCCATCCAGAGCATTTCAGATTGCTGGTTTTTTGTGGGGGTGGGATCAACTGAGCCTGATCATCTGGCTCCCTGCCTCAGACCCCCCTTTTTGTTTACTTTGGTTGAATGGGCGACTCTGTCTCCCAGGTGTTCCAGTCACCTGTTGAAAAGGCACCTGGATCTGTGTGATTTTCCACGCAGTGACCCACTGTGCCAGCTGAAACAGCCACACGGAGATTCCTGGCACTTTTTTGCCTGGAAATCTCCTGGCATGGCTCCCTGTTTCAGTCCCCTTTTTATCTGTTGAATGGGAGACTCTGTCTCCCAGGTGCTCCTATCGCCAGCTAAAACAGCGCCCAGACCTATGTGTTTTGTGCAGAGATTCGCCATGCTGGCCAAAACAGCCAAGCTGGCGACCCGTGGGGCTCCTCTGCCTGGGAATCTCCTGGTCTGTGGGCAATAAAAATCCATCTGGAAATGTGGTGTCCAGTCACCCTCCATGCTTTCGCTGGGAGCTGCAATCCTGAGCTGCTCCTAATCAACCATCTTGGATCCGTCTTCCACATTTCCTGTTTTCTTCTGGAAGCTGATGGTTTATCGACTTGGATAAGAGTGGCTGAAGTGGGGATGGAGAGAACTGGGGATGGAGAAAAGTGGGTGCTGTAGGGCTTGCAGCTGCTCCCTACCTCCCTGCCCTGGCCCTGTGTCTGTGGCGACCTACTCTCCTCCATGGGACCTTTATCTGCTGCTCGGCCTTTCTGCTGTCCACCTTCTTTCTTCTCCTCTCCACACCCAGATGGGTGGCCCCAACCTCAGCCTCTATGGCCCAAACTGATACTTCTCCAGTTGGAAGAGGACCTGGGCTGGCTTTCCTCTCTGCCCAGTGCAGCCATGCCTTGTGGGGAAGACCAGCCACCACTAGGGCACGCTGCCCGGCCACACAGACTGGTGTTGCTGCTGCCCTGTGATGCCCTGCTGGTGAGGGGCATTTCCAGTTCTGTGTTGAGATGCAGCCTGCTCTGCCTCAGGTCCCCTCAGCCACAGAGAACCCCCCACCAGATGGGCCCTGACTTGGGAGACTTGAGCACAGAGTGGGGGATCACACTGTCCTGGGTTTCAATCTTGGCCCCTCTATTAGCCAGGTGACCAGGGCCACTGAATACAGCTGGGCAGGTTGTGAGCTGTACAAGGCACTCACTCAGCCAAGAGGGCACATGGGGGCTGAAGTCCAGCCCACCCCCACCAACTGCCAAGCCAGTCTCCCTAACCCAGGCTATATTCATCTGGAGGGCGGATTCTTGGAAAGGAATTGTATGGGCCAGCAGTGCCCTGCAGGAGGCCAGCTCCCTCATCTGTGAAATGGGCATTGGTGTGCAGTGTAACGCGTGGCCTGGCGAATGCTATAGTTGTTATCACGGCCTCTCTTGGGAAGCCCTCCTGGATTTGCCATCAGAGTCCCATAGGACCTTGCACTGATGCCTCTCTGCTTCTCAAGGGTCAGGCTTGGCATCTCCAAGCCCAAGGCCAGGTCCCTGAGGTGAGCCAACCCAGCCCCCAATCTCATCCAGCAGCCAGATCCTAGGTGAGGCCTAGGCTGGAGCAGCCTGGGAGAGCAGGTTTGGAAGTAGATGGAGGTGAGGCCCCCATATGGTGGGGCCTTCTGGGGCCCACACGAGTGCTTAAAGCTCACACATCTTGTTCCCAGCCCCTCTCCGCTGGTCCAGGACATATCTTGCCCCTGGGCACTCAGAGTCACCTGGAGGCAGCCCTAAGAGTCCTTTGATGGTTGTGTGTAGGAACCCCTGGACAGGGGCCAAGACTGATCTGAGGTGGGGGAAGTGGGCAGGAAAGGCCTCACAGGTGGTGCTCAGAAAACAATGGTGAAGCAGGAGGGGCAGACTGTGGCTGCAAGTGCAGAGGCCTGAAGTAGGGCAACACCTAGAGAGAGGGGGCCTGACCGGGCAGGACAGAGGGGCCGGGACAGGGGAAGCAAGGTGAGTGCTGGGAGGGCCGCGTGGCAGGCCCCAGGAGGAGAGACAGTTTTATTCTAAATGTGGTGGGGCTGGGATGGATGAGGGCCCTGGCCACCCAGGACTGGAGCCTCTGAGGACAGGTCTGGAACGTGGTTTGTCTAGCATAGCAAAATGGCTAGGGCCCTGGGAAAATGAGTGGATTGAAACTATCCCCTGGCTACAGTGTGGCAGTTGGGGACTGTGAGGAAGCTGGTGCCACCCTTTGGGCAACTTGTGGGCAGCTGGGAGAGGAGGGATGGGGATGCCACCAACGCCTCCAAGACCTCTGCGCGCCCTCCCCCAGCTCCTGCCTGCTCAGGCTGGTCCCAGAGTCCTGACCCTGCTATCTCTTCCCAGGTCGAACTCTCCCGTCCCCACCTTGCAGGAGGACACCGACAGCGATGGGGAGGTGAATGGCCCAGTTCTGGGCTGGAATTCCGAAGCTGCCCCTCACTTGTCCTGTCCCCACCCCTGCCCCTCTGGCGCTGTCCCTGGCCAGGTCCTGCCAACACCTGTGGGTTGCAGGAGCCCCAACTGTACTTCACGGAGCCCCAGCAGCTTCTGGATGTCTTCAGAGAGCTGGAGGAGCAGAACCTGTCACTGATCCAGAACAGGCAGGAGATGGAGGAGACATTGGAAGAGCTGAGCCACACCCTGAAACATACCCAGATCCGCATGTAGGTGCAGGGGGTCCCCACCGTGCTCATCCTGGAACCCCCCAACCCCCAGCACTAGAGCTGAGCTGGGGCATACCCCCCATCCCTGTTCATGGCCCTGGCCTTGCCCAGGTTGCCTGAAAAGCTCCATCTGTTTGTGGGCTGAATCCTGGAGACAGGGTGGCAGAGCTGGAAGTGGGCAGTGCCCAGGTGCCCATGCCCACGCTGGAGCAGCCCATGGCTAGAGCCAGGCCTCTCCAAGGACCTCCCACCCTAGGCGCTTTCTGCTGCTACCAAGCTCCTGGGAGGCCCTTGGGGTGGCTGGAGGTCCACAGGGACCCTGACCCCCTAGTTCCTGAGTTCCTGGCAGCACTAACATACTTTGCACAGGCACCCAAAGCAGTCATTTGCTCAGAGGGCCTGGAACTGCTGCTGCTTCATAATCTTTCACAGACCACTGAGTGGGTGTTCATGGCACCCAACTGGGGAAGGCCAAGCCACCTGTGGGCTGCTGTGAAGTGTGTACCCAGCTGTTGCTCAGCAGCATAACAGGGACAGGAGTGGCTGCAGCCCTGAGCAGGAGGACTTGGGTGTGGTCAGTGCCATCCTGAAGGCTGGGGCCAGGTGGGGCTGAGACAGGCAGGGATGGGTGAGGGCCATGTGGCCACCCAGGATTGGGGCCTCTGGGGACAGGCCTAAAACACAGCTTGTCCAGCATGGCAAAGTGGCTAGAACCTTGGGAAAATCCCAGCCTTCCAATTCCAGCCAGAGAGGCAGCAGGAAAAGTCTGGTATTGCCCAGCTCTCACCTGGACCCCACCTGAGGCTGTTATGGTCCCTCCTGCTGGGTGTGGCCACTCAGTCCCCTGCAGGGTACCCGGCTCCAGGAGAGCTGGGCAGAGCAGGGTCAGCCTGGGGCACCAGTGAGGCACATTCAGAGCAGGGAATCCTCCACTCCACTCACTCCCCGCATGCTGCCTATGCATCCATTCTGGGTCAGGCCCAGGTCTAAGCTCTGCAAGGAGAAAGCAAAGCCCTGCCCTCGTGCAGTTGACCTTTAATGGCAACAGACACAACAAACAGGTCCACAGATGTGACTTGTGCATACTGATATGTTCTAGGAGGAAAATCTATTTGAGAATGAGGGCTAAAATGGAGAGTGACATCAGATGGGAGTGGCAGGGAAGGCTTCCAGGTGTCAGGACTAACTTCCCAGAGTGGGAGGAAGGCCAGTCACACACAGGCTGGGCATAGAGCGTCCCAGGCAACAGAAACAGCAGGTGCAAAGGCCATGAGGTGGGAGCCTGCTGAGGCTTAAGTGTTCCATGGGGGAGCCATGCTCCCGAGCACCCATGTCCCATTGATGCAGTGTGGTAATCTCCAAAATGACATGAAACTCCTACCCTCAGGCAAGACTATGTGCCCTGGAAAGCTGGGAGGTGCCGCACACAGAGGAAGATGAGTTGGGAGAGGTGGGCAGCCTCCCAGGTTCCCAGATAATCTGGCAAGAAGACAGGTTCCTCCTCCAACACATGCATGCAAACATAAACCAGAATGCTGGACGTGACATCCAAAAGCTGGTCTTCGGCCAACCAAGCCATCCCTGAGAGCATCCACACTTTGTTTCCAGAGGAGTCACAGCCAATGTGTATTTAACTTCCATGAACTCGGCTATCTCTTTTCAGAAAAAAATCAAAATACAGTTTTAAAAATATATAAAACAAATAGATAATCTGAGTAGGCCTATATCCATTAAAGAATTTAAATCAATAACTAATAGCCTGACAAAAAGGAAATCCCCAGGCCCAGATGGGTTTGCTGGTGAATCTACAAAGGAAGAATTTCATCTAAGGAAGAAATTACACCAGTTCTCTACAATCCCTTTCAGAAGTTAGGAGCAGAGGAAATACTTCCTAACCCAGTCTATGAAGCCAGTATGACCCTAATACCAAAACTAGGCAAAGACATTACAAGAAAGAAAAAGTAGATACAAATCAACATCCTGAGGACCTCATTCCACCATCTTGCTGATGCTATTCCTCTGGTTGTATCTTTAAATTCTTTTCAATCTATAGGTTTCCTTTGTTTTCCCCCTTGCCATCCATTTGTTGAAGAAACCAGACAACTTTTCCTATATTGAAGTGCTTCTCAGACTTTATGTGCAGTTGAATCGCCCAGGAATCTTAAAAGGAAGTTTCTGATTCAACAGGCATGGGTCAAGGCCTAGGACTTTATTTCTGACACACTTGCAGGTGATGCCCAGGTTGGTCTGAGGACCAACTCTGAGCAGCATGTCCCTTGTGCATCTGTTTATTACAGTTGAAAGGTGAGTGTTGAAATTCTGCTACTAGATATATAAAATGCTAAGGTGTCCTCACAAAAACCTGTACATGAATGTTCATAGCAGCAATATTCCCAAGAGCCAAAAGGTAGAAACAACCCAAATGCCCATCAAAGGATGAACAGATCAACAAAGTGTGGCCTATGCATGCAATGGAAGATTACTCAACCATAAAAAGAAATGAGGTGCTGACACATGCTGCAACATGGATGGACTTGAAAATATGCTGGGTGAAAGCAGCCAGTCCAAAGGAAACATGTTGTGTGATTCCATTTTTATGAAGTGTTCAGGGTAGACACAAAATAGATTTGTGGTGGCGTAAGACCAAGGGATAGAGGGGACAATGAGAAGTGACTGCTAATGGGCACAGGGTGATGATAATGTTCTAAAATGGTAATGGTTGTGTAAACTCCTTGAATATACCAAAAAATCCTGACTTGTATATTCTATGATAATTTTATTGTCGGTGAATTATGCCTCACTAAAACTGTTTATTTTCTTTAATGTTGATGGTTAAATATTTTAAAATCCCCCCTGCATTCTGCCAGCATTTTTGACTCTCTGGACATGCAGAGACTTGGCACCTATGATCCTTCAGTCCTCAGGATAGCTGTTAGGGGCAAAGCACCATATAGATTGTCAGGCTCAGAGAAGCATTGTACCCAGGGCCGTGCTGAGTGAATAATTTGCTTGTTTCCCACTCCTCCAGGGACAGGGAGGTCAACCAGCTGAAGGAGTGGGTCACCACGATGATGATGTCCATCACCAAGGAGGAGGACACAGCAGCAGAGCTGGAGCTCAAAGCCCGAGTCTTCCACTTTGGAGAGTACAGGGGAGATCAGCAGGTAGGCTGGGGATCGAGGTGGCCAGAGGCCCACGGGAAGGAGGAGCCCTTGGGTACCCACTGAAGGAACCCTGACAGCCCCTAAGAAGATGCAGGGCAAGGCCGAGGTGAGTGCTCTGCAGCTGCCCTTGCCCTGCCTGCCTCCAGGAGCCACCACATGTATCCGTGCCCATGCCAGCCAGCTTGGTTGCCCCTATACCTCATTCATTGCTTCATTCTTTCATTCAGTAAATTTGTCTGCTTCTTAAACACATATATTGTGCCTGGCAAGGTGATCCTGAAGGCGAGGAAGAGGCATGTCCCCAAGCCAGGCTGAGAGGGTGACAGAATTAGGAGAGAACAGAAATCCAGTGGTGTTCTGAGCAGCAGAAGCCAGGGACTGGCCAAGGGCTCAGCCTGCTCCCAACCTGACAGCACACTTGGGGCCACCCTGGGCATGGGGTGGCTTCCTACTGTCAAGCACCGGCTGCGTGCCAGGCACTGGGCCAAGGGTGTGGGATGCAGCCGTGAGCAAGACAGCGCTCCCCTGACATAGCTAGAGTCCGGGGTCACTAGTTGTGCTGAGCTGCCTGCTTGCTGCTGCTCTCCTCACACAGCCCTGTGGAGGGGCTGTTACCTGTTTTCTTTTTTTGTTGAGACAGAGTCTCACTCTGTTGCCCAGCCTAGAGTTCAATGGCGCAATCTCAGCTCACTGCTACCTCTGCTTCCTGGGTCCAAGTGATTTCCCTGCCTCAGCTTCCCAAGTAGCTGGGATTACAGATGCGTGCCACCACGCCTGGCTAATTTTTGTATTTTTAGTAGAAACCAGGCTTCACTATGTTGGTCAGGCTGGTCTTGAACTCCTGACCTCAGGTGATCCACCCACCTCGGCCTCTTAAAGTGCTGGGATTACAGGCATGAGCCACCATGCCCAGCCTGTTACCTGCTTTCTAAGTATTAGAACAGGCTCAGAGGACATGGCTCTGTTGGGAGCTGAGATCAATGCAGGGCTTCCTGGTGGAGGGGAGTGGGCCCTGTTGGCTCATCAGAGCCAGCTGGGGGAGGGGCTGGAACCACGGATCTGGCTGACTCCAGGGGGCCTACAGGGATAGGCTGCTCTGGCTAAGAAAAGCCAGTTCCCCAAGTTCTGTTTCAGCCCATGTTCTGAGAGCCCCCGCTGTGTGCCAAGCAGGCAGCCCCACAATGGGAGATCAGCAGGCCACCTCCAAAGGCACTGATATTGGGGCGGGTTTCAGCCTGCTAGCCTCCTGCTGGAAGCCTCCTCTTCCACAGGATAAGTTGCTACAGAGCCTGAACCGCAAGGTGCTGGATGTGTACCGGCACTGCGTCAGCACCCAGCAGGAGGCCAACCTGGGCACCGTGCAGATGCTGACCGTCATCGAGCACCAACTGGATGAGCTGCTGGAGAACCTGGAGCGTGTGCCTCAGGTCAAAATCGAGCAGGTCGAGAGGGCCAAGGAGAAGGAGCGGCGCATCAGGTGAGCTCTAGGCCTACCCTGCCAGCTGCTGAGTGCAGGCTGGCCTTGAGGGCAGACAGTACTACAGGCCCCACCCTCAAAGCACTCCGAGGAGACAGGCCCCCGTGCCCCGCGCGTGCTATGAGAGACAAAAAGCGGGTCTTGGGGGGATCTAGTGGGGCATCACACTCAACTGGGGGGTGGTTAGGGAAAGCTTTCTAGAGCAAAGGACAGTGACTTGATGTGGCCAGGAGGCTCAGGGAGGGACAGGGTCTAAAAGATGGAAGAGCTGGAGCTCAGTTAGTGTGGCCAGCATGGCCAGCCTCAAGGACATAGAGCAGCAGTGGAGAGATTTAAGCAGTGGGGCAAACACAGCCAGGTAAGGTGTGGTTAGATTCTTCCTTCTGGATCTGGACTGGAGGGGCAGGAGGCTGAGGGGGAGGGCAGCTGCCAGCACCTGGGAAGGAAGGCACGGCTGCAGCAGTAGGTTGCCAGAGCAAAAGATAGGGTGCAGGGACTCAGGGAGCCCTGGGAACTTCAGCTCTGAGGGGAGTGGAGGGCGCAGATGGGCACCAGCTTGCCATGTCAGGACACTAGCCTGGACCCAAGGTAGATGGGGGATGTGGCTTCCCTGGCCTGTGGGCAGCCTGGTTCATCCATCCTGTGGAGGGTCATGAAACAGGGCAATCTGCAAACACACATCCATCCCCCACAAGCACAGGGGCTTCTCCTCTGGGTTCCTGGTACCCTGCTCGGAGTGGGCACTAGGCCAGGCTTTGATGACTGGGAGTACACACAGGAAGGACAGGACTCTTGCCTGAGGGAGACGCTGGACCTTCATGGTGGCAAGGGAGGCTGCAGATGCACAGATCAGGCCATGGGTGTAGATTCAGGGAAATGAGCCTCTGGGAGAGGGGTCTGCTGGATGAAACTTAGATCAGCCCTTGCGGGATGCCAGAGCCAGGGCCTTGGAGCAGCAGGGCCCTGGCTATCCTCTGGGCCTAGGCCACCGTGGCCAGAGCAGTGGTGCTTTGACTATGGATAGGTATTGAGGCCTTGACCTGGCAAGAGAGGTGAAGAGGAGCTAGGAGTTTTCAGTCCTCACGGCCTGACCTGGGGACTCCGTGAGGAAATTACTCAACACCCCCCAGAGCCCCCTCCCGCCCCACAAGTTTTCAGTGTTATCTCTTGCTGCCTAGACTTCGAGAAGAGAAGCTCCAGATGCAAAAGATCCTGCAGGAGGAGCGTCTGCAGCGGGCCCGGGCACGTGCCCAGGCTGAAATCAAGAAAAATGTAGGCAGGGTCGCCTGGGGGGGGGGTCTCTGCTGGAGGGGGTCCCAAGACAGCCTGGCAACTGAGGTCCTACAGCCCAAGCCCCTAATGCCTCTATTCTGAAGGCTATCACTGAGGCTCTGAGGGAGACAGTCTGCTTTAAAACCGAGGCCTCTCCTAGGACCTGCTTCCTGTAGGGGTCCCTTCCCCCAAGCTGCCAGCCTATGGCCCATGGAGGGCTGAGACTGGTTTGGCCATGCCCGCCCACCCCAGTTAGGTACACCCTGCTCAGGAGCAGGGTCCCACCACCCTAAACACACTCTGGCCAGACCCCAAGCCCTGCTCACTACCTGTCACTCGGGTCCCCCTACTGTTGTGTCCCAAGGCCTCCACCCTTCCTGCCCTCTGACCCTAGTAACAGGAGGCAGGTCACCCTGCACCCACATCTAAGAGGTGGTGCTCCAGGGACCAGGTTTGCTCAATGCCGGGGAGACTCACACCCCTAGTTATTTCAGAGTTAACTCTAGCCCTCAGCCTGCAGGGCTGACCAGAGTGGTCTGGAGCCGACTGGAGCTGCTGGGTCTCTCCCTGTGCCAGGGGCAGGGGTGTGTGGGCATACATGCCTCTGGGCAGCGAGGCTCACTGGGCTTGTCTCCCCTGCAGAGAGGCAGGACACTGGTGCGCCGCTCAAAACCTCCAGCCCACAAGATCAAACAAGAGTCTGAGCACATGCTGATGGACAAGGAGAAAGAGGAGCTGCTATTTTTCTTTACTTAATCTTCACAAACCACAGCTAGGTTATGGCGTAAGGCTTAGCAAAGATGTTGGCAGTGGAGGCAAAGACTGGGCTGGGTATTGAGTGGCCCAGCTGAGCCCTCTCCATCTCCTGTGTGCTCCCCTCCTCACCTGAATAAATTCATGTCTCTTTGGAGTCTTGAAGGCCTGTTTAAGGAAGTAGCCACTTTTGCCAAATCTCAGCATCCCCGTTTTCATCATTTAGCCCTAAGCAGTGCTTGAGGGCAGGAGCATGACACCTTGGTCCTCATCTAAAACAGCTGCTCTGCAAAGCAAAAGCTGATTCCATGCTGGGTGTAGTGTGAAATCAGCCTCTGTGCAAAAGAAGACCAAAGAAACACAAGCAGGCAGCTAGGCATATGGTAGGTAGGGCCAGAGCTACCAACTGAAGGAGAAACAACAGGCTGAACGCCATATATGCAGCTACTCGAATCAAGCCAAGGTAAAAAAAAAAAGCCTTTAGTGCATGACTACACAACACCTTTCATTCATTTGCACTAGGAGTTGGGCCCGTCACCAGCAGGGAACCTCAGTGCCCAGAACACCGGATGCCAGTCCCAGTCACTTTGTGGTGGCGTTCCCAGGGAGGTGCATGGGAGAAAAGTAGAGGCCCAGAGGGCATTCCTGGGGACACACCCTGCATCCCAATGGAGATTGGATGGGTGCGGCTCCAACCGCTACGCCCATGGCCAAAAGCCTGGAGGGAGGACGACTCTGGGCCACCCTGGGGCTAAAGAGCCTGCCAGGGTGGGAGAGTTCTGGCCTCGCCTTAGCTGGTGACAGAGCACAGGTCTCTGAAGAAGACCCGTTTGCAGATGAGGTGTGGATTCTTCCATGTGGAATAGCACCTGGGACAGCACCTCAGAGTGGGATGAGACAGGGGGAGTACTCACTCAAATTTGGTGTCAACCCCAAATCCAAGAAACAAAGAAACATAGGGCAGAGTTTCAGTCTGAGAACCAGAATGGCCTCTGAATGAACACATACTTCAAAAGGCACGAGGCAAAAAAAAAAAAAAAAAAAAAGGAATGACCCTGTGTCTAGTCTGTTAACTTACAATAAACATGGGCAAGGTGATCAGCTTGTCTCCTTTTGCAAGACAGATCTTACTCTGTAAAAATACACACTGACAAAAATATATATATACACTGACATATTATGTGCATATCACCCTCAACAATAAAATACATACACCAATCATCACAGTCCTACACATAATCTATGGTATTCAGAACATCGCTTTATAAACTGTTGTCAAATTACCATTTTAACATGAATACCCAAATAGAGAATTGAGAAAATTATTTTAAATTTTAACTCTACCACCCCCTCTCAGTTATGAATTTAGTCTGGGAAGAGGGCTCCGTAATAGGTCACTGAGGTCCCCTGTCCCACCCCATCATTCTTCTCCCAAAACTAGCTGCCTGACTGCTCTGCCAGACTTGGGCTAGAATTTGGCTTCACTGTGGCAATGGGACCACCTGGGTCCTACAGTGTGGCAAAATCCCATCCCTGGTGCTGGGATGCTCACACACTGAAGCTGAAACACCTCACTTGGTTTTGCCATAGTTCAAGTTACATCTGACTAGAGAGTCTGTTCTCTACCCTATTTCCTGCAGGAGCCTTTTTCTTTGTAATGCAACAAGTGCTACACAGCTCAGATCCAATGGGACACGGGGAATGGGGCTGTAGTGCACCCAGCCCTGCTGAGGGAGATCCTTGCCTCGCCAAAGCACTTTGCTCACAAAGGCAATTTCAAAGAACACAGCCCAAACTCATTCCTGGTAAAACAAATGGAAAACATTTTTGATAAATGTACCCAAAGTCTCAAGAGGGCTACGCTGGCCTTCTGAACGGAAACCAAGTGGGGTCTCCCCAGGCCCATGCCATCTGAGTCTCAGGGAAGGTGTGTCCCTGATCATGGCCTTGGGCCTGCCCAGGCCGCGGCTGCCATCACTGCAGGTCCTGCAAGTTGATAGTGCTTCCTGGGAACTGGGTGGCCTCTGGACCAGCAGGGCCTCCAGATGCGGGGACCACCTCCTGCAAAACCAAACAGTATCATGAGGAGGGAGGAGGGAGGAGGGAGGGGAGGCAGAGGGATCCTGCGGCTCCACACAGCAGGCAACTGACCAGGCCCATGGCAAGATACCTGACTTCTCTTAATCAAAACTACAGGCTCCCCTTATTCTAAACACACGTTCTTTGATGGAAAAATGAACTCAATACTGTACTATAAATTTTTCCGGATTGTTCTGTCTGCACACTGACATATACCCTCACATGTTCACACACCATGTGCCTTTTTACACAAACAAAATCATCTTTAATTCTGCAACCCTTTCTCCCTACTTCTCATGTGGTAAGCACACTCCCAGGTGTTAGGTGTCCGCCTGTGCCCTCACAGCTGACCAGCACGTGGCCCAGGGTTATGGCAGCCCCATCTAGCCCATCTCCTCCTGCTGGAAGAAGTGTTCCTGCTGTTGCATTATTTGACTCCAGGCTGCCGTGATTATTTCACTGTCTTATTTCTTTAGGAGCAGTCCCAGGAGGGGGCTGCCAGGCAGAATGAAGCAGACACTTCTGAATTTCTCTCATCTGTCCATCCAAACCTCCCTCCAGCTCACCCCTCTGCAGCCTGGGTGCCCGGCCCTCTGCTCCCACCAGCGCTTCTGTCCAAGTTTGGTTTTGATTGCAAGGCAAATGCTGAGTAGCCCAATTTCAATGCAAAAAAAACTAAAACACAATTTGCATCGATTAGTGTGCGTATACACACACACACATAAGCCAAATTGTTAGAAATATGATAAGCTATACACTTTCATTATTTCATATCCAACTCTGAATCATCCATTGCCACCTATCCTTAACCACATAAGCAAACTACTGAATTTGTCTGAGTCCACTCTCCCATAGGCTGGGCCCTGGCCAGCCCTCTTCCAGAAAAGTAACTGATATTCCTAGGCACAACATGTTTCAAGAGTATATTAACTTCTCCCGCTTTGTTCACCAGCAGGAGCTGCTGCATCCTGCAGATCTGAGCTCCACTCACCCACCTTCTCCAGAAGGCAGCAAGACATTCTAACAACCCACTGAGCCTCCCCAGCCAGCCAGCCTCAGTTACCAGCCTGCAGCTGTGAAGCCAGCCTTCCAAAAGATGGCTCTGCGAGTCTCAGTAAGAAAAACAAAGGGCAGTAAGGCATACAGACCTGGAGGATATAGACGGGCAGGTCCACGGTGAGGAAAGGAAGGAAGGTGGCTGGGCCGCGGGCCGAGGGCAGGACACCTTCGCCAGAGGGGTCATCCTGGGGAGGCAACAAAGTCCTGTCACATTATCTGTGAGAATGCAGCTACAGTCCTCATCTTACCTGAGAAGTTTCCTCCACTGCAATGTGTGGCAGAGCCAGCCCAGCCCCTGTATTCCAAGGGAGGCCTGAGGACCCAGCAGGAATTGCTTATGGGGACTGGGGCTTTTACCTGTTCCAACCTGGTTCCCATTCTCTCACCTTGATCCCAGCAGCTTTTGCTGGGCCTGGAACCTTCTGCTGTCCAGCTCCTCCCCTCAGTCAGCCCAAGTACCAATTTCCCTCCTACGGCATGCTCCTCAACCCCTGTGGGTACCCTGGCACCCCCTGCACCCCCACCAATCTTGTGTACCGACAGTACTCTCCAGCACCTCCTCGGGCCCAACAGAGGCCTTTCCTGCATGCCCCAGCTTGGGCCAGCTGGAAGGACCAGGGCAGGTGGAGGGGCTCCTCCCAGTCCAGGCTAGAAACCTCAGCCGTCCCATGTCTCACCTGTCCTGCACCTGCATGTCCGCCCAGGGCATTCACACCCTAGCGCAAAGCTCCTGCTGCTGCCCTGTACCTCATTCCTTCTACTTGAGAAGCTCCTGTGTGTCAAGCACTGCACTACTGTTTCCATTTTATAGATGAAAAAACTGAGGCCCGGAGTACTTAACTAACCTAGACTACACTAGCTGGTAAAGGACAGAAAAAGGACTCAAACCCAGGTTCCCTGTCCTCACAGCTTTAATCAGGAGTCTCTTAAAAGTATACCCCCTACCTGCTCCTCTTTTGCCTGTGGTGCCAGCTTCCCCACCATCTCCCCATTGGCAAGCCTCTGGTCCTGCCTCTGCACCTCTGCCCTGCCAGCTGAGGCAGTGTGTCCTTAGACGGTCCTCCCCCTCCACTGCCTCTGCTCCTGGGGAGTTTTTACCTCTTCACAAGCTGGAGAGAGAGGATCAGTGCTCCTGCTCATCTCTAAAACAAGCTTCAGTCCCCACCTGATGCTCACCACTAGCTTCTGACCAGCACAGGGCCACACTCAACTGCCTGCAGCCTCCTTCCTGCCCCCTTCCCAGTCCTCCTCTGCCCAGGCCACCCCTCTTGCCTCTCTGAGCCCTAGCCTTGTGCAGAAGCCTCTCCTAGGACTACAAACCCACAAACCTACGAACGTGCCTGTTTCCCAACTCAGAGCTAGTGTCAGCTCTGCCCTCCGCACTTCTGCAGAGCCTGTGACCATATCCCCTGCCAGAGAAAAACTACAGAGTGGAGTGGAGGGGCACACACCTGGGCCAAACCTAGACAGCCCCAGCTTATAAATCTCTCCTCTCCTCAAATCCTTCCAAATCACCGTCCCTCTCCATTCTGGCCCCTCAAACTGAAACTGAGGATGCAGGTGGGCTCAGGGGTGCTGGAACGGGTGTGCTCAAAGATTTGCAAGCTGGACACAGCCACAGGTATCTGTGGCCTGGACACGTTGGGAGGGGTGTGGGCCTGCTCTGGAGGGGCTCAGTTTAGTAGGAAAGAAAACAGAAACACTGAAAAGACCCCCACCACCTCCAAGTATAGAAAGGCTGCTAGTGCACCACAGGCAGGCTGCTCTAGAGATGGGGTGGCTGAGGCAGCCTGTGGAGCCCCTCTGCCCCAGCCCTGCAGAATGGCAGGGTGGCCTCAAACAGATCTCATCCTGCTGCAAAATACTGAGGCCTGGGGGCCTTGGGTGGGGACATGAGCTGCCCTGGGGCTAGATGCAGGGCCATGCACAGACAGGGTCAGGAAGTGGATACACAGTCCCAGCAACACTCAGAGCTTGAGCAGATGCAGGAGAGGCTGGGAAAACAGGAGGAGTTGAACTGTGAGGAGACAGGCCTTGGGACGGTCTATAGGGGAGGATGAATGAGGAGCAGGCAGGGGGTGCTGCGACAGGCAGGGGACGCGGCATGCCACATGCTTCTCAGACCTGTGCGACACTCCCACCCAGCCTGCAGCTGGCCCGTGTGGCTCGCCAGCTCTCACCTGCACCAGCTGGACCTGGATGCCCTGCGCCCTGCAATGCACCCCAGCTGCTGGAGTTGGTCCTGGCCGTCCTCCACTGGGCACCACGAGGCTCCCACACAACCAACTGCTCTGGCTTGCGTGGAAATGGGGAGGACTCATTTTGCCTTCTTTTATTTTTCTGTGAGTAGACTGTGAGGCTCCTAAAATGAAATATAAAAACCAGCACACCCAATCTATAATCTACCAGTCAGGCCCACCCTCACCGAGGTCTCACTATGCGGAAGACAGCCTCCCCATTAACTGTCATTCTGCATAGCCAAGAGACTTAAAATCACTCATCAGGAAAAATCACGAGTCAAGATGTTAGAAGAAACAACTATACAAACAAAAACCACCAGGATTTCGATTTTTAACATGTAAAAACATCACACATATTTTTTTGCCAGATGGTACAGTAATCAGACCTAAGCTGCACATTCTTGGAAAGCAGAGACTTCCTTATCCTCTAACTCCAAGAGCTCCTGGCCAGCAGGAGATCCTGAGCACAACTGAGGACAGCCTAGGGCCCAGAGCCACAGCATTGTAGAACAGGAAGGAAGCGGGAGGTCTTCACATCCCACCCGCTAGTGGACTGCTGCCTCTGTTCAGCTCCTTCCCAAGTCACCACTCCACTGGCTTTACAAATATATGCTTCTTAAAAAATGATGTAAAGTACAAAGAAAAAAGGAAAAATCTTAACACCCAGAACAAACTCAAAAGCTGCTTCAGGAAGGCCTGGAGGTAGCCTAGAGTATGCACTGCAGAGACCGCAGCCAGGCTCACCCTGACCCGCCACCCACTCTGCTCCAGGGATCTAGATAAGGAACTCAAGCTCTGAAACTCAGCATTCTCTACCTGTAAAATGGGAATGTTAGTCCCAGCCTTGAAAGGTTTTGGAGAGGATTTCATAGTAAATATGTGATCGAAACTTAGAATAGTGCCTGGCTCTTGGTGAGTGCCAAGGAGCTTAGAGGTGCTGTCACTGTTCTGCCTACAAATCCCTGCCTGGACACACAGCTATGAATGGTTTCAAAAAAACAACTGTACAATGACTATCATACAAGTCATTCCTAATAAAAGCATTAAATTGGGTGACTCTGCTACCCAAGGCAGGCTGTTTTTATGAGGCTGTTTGACCAGAAGGTTCTGAGCAGCACACGGGGTGAGTGCTTACTTACCCTACATATACTACGGCTGCCTCCCTTATGTGCTCACTTTGCTCCAGATCCCTTCCTGTCTTCTGCAGTGCACTGGGTCCTGAGAGCTTCACACTCAGTAGGCAAGCCAACTGGGTGCACAAACCTTGGGTCCCCTGCACTTATGCACAACCTGCTGTCCCTTCCAGGTGCCTCAGGGCTCTTTCTCTTTGAAGCACAAATACTAACCAGGAGGTTTCTGGGGAACATAAATTCAGTTCCCCCTCGCTGCAGGGAGATGCACATCCATTACAAAATACTTCCTTTCTGTTCATCAGGTTCTATGCTCCAGAAAACCCAGCAGCCCTTGCGCTGGATTATCTCTGGCTGTTCTCCACACCTAGTTTCTCTTTTTAAATTGCTCTACTTGCTTCAAACAGGAGAACAGGGCTGGGTCTGGGTAAAAGAGGCACCTAAGGCACAAAACTCACTCACCTCTTCTTGAGGAAACTTCACATCAGTTCCTAGTACTGCAGTCTATGAAGTACGCAATAGCATTATGTCTAAAAAAAAATGCACACCTTAATTTAAAAATACTTTATTGCTAACAAATGCCGACAGACATGAAGTTAGAACATGCTGCTGGAAAAATGGCACCAACAGATTTGCTGGATGCAGGGTTGCTACAAACCTTCAATTTGTAAAAAGCACAATAAAGCCAACCGCAAAAAATGAGGTGATCCTATATCCTCCGTGAGCTTGTATACTATCCCACTCACCTCCAGAATTTTACCTGAATGCATCTTTATGCTTTGAAGTCTTTTATCACCCTAGCATATAAAAATATGTACATAAACAAATTTTATTTAACTTCTAGGCATTAAAATTTTTGGTTTGAATTGTTACAACTGCAATTATTAGTAATGCAAAACAAATCAAAACAAACTAAATCAGAAACTTTGATAGATAATTATGATACTAATAAAAGCAAACATATTGAAAATGCTTTTCAAGAGGAGTGGGACTGACTGGTGGTTTTCTTGCCCAGTTAGTTCATGCATCTGTGTCTAAATACTACTACTTGCTAGAATTAGACATAGCAGCTATTCCTGTCAAAGACTCTTTAAAATCAAATGCTCATGTGTCATTACAACTTTGCAGCTGCAGGCTGAACTCATTCAAGTTAGGGGGAAACCCAGCGAAAGCAGGGCCGGTGCTGCAGCCAGAACAGTCACATTAGGCTTGCTTTCTAATAAAAGGCCTGACTTCATTTTTAAATTCAAATAAAAATACTGAAACGTGTCATTAGGAATATTAGGACAACTACTGTAGAATAAATTGAGGAAGGCATTGAATAGTGTATCTTTCCAGATTACTTTTAAAAGCAGACAAGATTTAAATGATGTATATCAAATATTTATTATCAAGTTTTGTAACATAATCAAGATAAATCTGAGCCATTTATCATGATTCAATGCCAAACATGTAGGCCATGGTCTAAGTTACCTGTGAAGCAAGAGGTATGACCGAATCCTAATATTCCTTTGCAAAATGTGTGCTAGCATATGCCATTGGAATCATGGGAAAATTCAGAATCATGCGCAAAATTGGAAATAATTCCACTAACGTTGCTAGACACCATGATTACTTTCCCTTTATATTTAAACCAGTTAGTAATGAAAATGATTCTATCTTTATTAATATATTTTAATGGCATTACTTTTACAACATAAAACAAGATAGACTATAACTAGGCTATCTCTTGACAAGCTAAATTGGTTTCAACTTCTGTATTAGCATACAACATGAAAAAAATCAGCAATTTCTCTCTTCAAATCCACACATTTAATTCAGTGTCACAAGTAGTCCTGCAAACATTAGCTACGCTGAGAAGAGCCACCACCACTAATTTGTACTGTTTTTGCATCAGAAGGTATTTTTCTTCCCAGCTAACAAGTCATCTGGGGATAAAAAGTCAATAGCTGAAAAGAACTGCTCATGCTTATACAAACATAAGGCTCTTTCCTTAAAAGTAATGCATTCTTTGACAACAGTAGAGGGCTGGCAAAGGTGAGGACTCTCAACAAGAGATGCCCATCCATGCCCCATGGCCCCTCTGCGATGCACCTCAAGCAGAACATCTCAGCATCCACCCCTAGATACATTTTTGCACAGGAAGGGGAGGCTGGTGAGCCCACCTCATGAAAGTTTTGATGTTGGTATTACTCTACAGGATGCTTCCCTGAAACCAGTATTTGGACCTGCCCCCAGGTTTGGTGCTCTGGAAGGATATCCTGTTTCTGCATGCACTCCAATAAAACACACCATGGTAGAAGTTTGGTGGATAGCTATAGCCTCCCTGTGTTTTGACAAGCAGGACATCTGTCAGGGGAATGGGGGAGAACCTGCCACAGATAAGCTTGGACACCCCTTCTCAGAAGAGGACTGCACCTGGAAGATGAGCCTGGAAAGGATGCAGAGGTACAGGCCAACAGCTGTGAGAGAAAAGGACAGCCAGGGCAGGAGGGGCCGAGTCCCAGTCGCTGAGCTGTCCCTCAGGCCTGGGCAGGGTGTTCTGTCCTAAGACCCCCAACGGTACACCCTGAAGCCTAGTATTATGCCATGAACATTTAAGATGGCTGAAGGTAATCAGAAACTTCCTGGGTTAACTAAGCAAGTATGTTTATCTAGCGATGCTTAAAGACATGCCAGAGCAAACAAATGGTGTCCACATCACGTCTTCATGATGGCCATGCAGCCCCGGGTCCTCACTAGTAAAGGGTGCCATGGCATCAACTGCAACAGGACCAATTTAATTAATAAAGCAGTCACAAGAAAAATCAAATTCTTTTCTCACTAGGGACAACCACAAACCCTTAGAGAACAAGGTAACAACACTAACCAAAATTTTGCTTCAATATTTTCCATTGTTATCCAAAATGCTTGCTTGTGCTGGAGTTCCTGCAGGAGTGGGGAGCGGAGAGCAGTATAAACCCAACACCAACCAACCTCCTGGGAAGCAAGGAAGGAGACCCTGGGAGAGAGTCCTATCTGGGTATGAAGGTAAACAGCAAAGCGGTCAAGTGCCCAGGCTTGGGAGCTGGATGATCCAGCCATGCAACTCAGCTCCCACATATCTGTGGTGAACAGAGATGGCCACACTGCTTCCACTTCGCCGTGCCATGACAAGAATTAGGTGAGGCAAACAGCACTGGGTCTGATTCAAACAGCATGCCATCCCCACACCAGCAGCACCGCAGTGCCTGCCACAGAACGGAGTTCAGAGCCAGCCAAGTGCCCTGGGGAAGGATCTGCACAGACAAGGCTCAGACCTCTTCCTTGATAAACACAGGGGGTCATGCAAGCTTCCTCCACTGAGATCCTAACTTGAACAGGAGGTAAGTTACTATTTTCCCAATTCTCCCAAGGGTGGGAGATCAGAGAGCACTGAGGCTTAATTCACTCAGTCCCTGACATGGTTAATCCAGCACAGCTATTAGAAAGATGTAATATGTTAATATATTTATCCACAAGCAAAAATATTACTAAGAACAAAAGCCAGATGAAAATATGTTTTATCCTTTTTCAAAAATGAGTCATTTGTGTAGGGAAATGTTTACCACTGAAACACGGTTAAGTAGTTTGACCTGGGTGGTGGAGCTTACAGGAGAGAAAGCATGAGGAAAACACATTTATCTTTTCCAGCGTAAACCATATGGTGGGCCCTGCCTGTGCTGAGTGCTCACCCTCTGCTTAGGGATGTGCTGCTCACGCTACAGGTTCTTTGTTCTGCAGGGGCCCACTTTCCTCCAGGGCATCTGGAAGGCCCTGTAAGTATCAGACTTTCATTTTTCCTCTCTCACAGGCTTCATGGGTATTCTCGCCAAGCTACCTTCCCAGATCAACTTCAAGTGGACAGGTATTTGAGAATTGGGTATCTCCAGCTGGTAGACCCTAAACCAGAGCACACTTGTCATGAGTGATCCTGACATGTTTTATTACTTCTACTGTCATTCTGAATGAGGCCAGTTGTTCACGATTGTTCTTATTTGAAAAGAAGAGCTACAATTTTATATATACAAATATACAAATATTTACTGTGCAATTAGCTATCTATTGATCCTTTTTATTTCTAACTACTTGAGTTGATTCCCCTGGGTTTTCTAAGCCTGACAATGACTTCATCAATAAGTAATCATCATTCTCTCCTATTTGATTATCTGTTTCTCTAAAAACAGACACTTCCATAAAAGTGTCAAATACGACTGCCCTGTTGGTTTGGTTATTTCCCCAGCTTTGCGGGGAATGCAGCTAGCATTTCTCCACTGAAAATGCTGCTGACAACTGGCTGCTCTCTAGTATTAGGGAAATCTGGGTTCCTAGTTGATTCAGGTTTGTGATGTTTTCAAATCAGTAGCAGGTGATGAATGCCATCAACTGCCCTGTTTGGCCTCTGTGGACCCTACACGTCTACTGTGGCAAATCAGGCTGACAGGCTGCCTTGCCCCACACCACACTCACCTGCTGTCCATGTGTTGGTATTTCACTTGGGATTCCCATGCCCGCTTCACCTGCTGGAGGTGAGACACAGTGTTCCTGCATACCATGTGGCCCAAAGGCTCAGCAACAGCTCTGAGGGCAGCTGGCCTTGGGTTCCATCCTGACCCTGCCCCCGCCAGCTATGCAGCCCTAGCTAAACTCTCTCTGCCTCAGCTTCCTCATCCAGAAAGATGGGAACACGAGCACCTACACCTCACAGGGTTGTTGCAAGGACTAACAGGGTAATAGATGTAGATGTGCTGGGCTTAGAACCGCGCGGGGCACACAGTACGCCTTCATTAGTTATCACACCTTCATCAAGTTTTAGAACCAGGGTATGTTAGCTTTGTACATTGAACTTAGTAGCTTTTATTTGAGTTCTGCGCAAATTTCATCATCATTCAACAAGTGTGTACT